AACATTAATGATGAGAAAGAATCATTAATCGGCTGCCTCCTACACATCCCACACTGGGGATCGAGCCCACAACCTGGGCATGTGCCCTGACAGGGAATCAAACTGTGACCTCCTGGTTCATAGGTCAATGCTCAAGCACTGAGTCACGCTGGCTGGGCCTTCGCAAGTTTCATTCTCAGAAAAGAATAAGGAGGAAGCCATGCTCCTGGCTTCTTCCTCTGTGGCTATACGGTGAGCTGCGGCTCTGTGCACCTGTCCTTAACTCAGCACCTCCTCTGGTCATCTCTTTGTGGCTGATGTTTTCATTGTGGGGGGGATCCCAGGCTTCCACAGGTTCTACCCAAGTGAGCCCTGTAACCCCACTCACGTGAGGAAGTGTGGATGGTGCTTGATGGTGTCCTCCAACTTCTCCAGGAAGGTCAGATCTGTGGCTTCCCCAGGGCGCAGACACTCCTCGTCCTAAGGGGTGTGGCACAGAATGATGGATGTGTCAAGGGAGGGGCTGGAGAGCACAGGTAATTCAGGGGCACCATGCAGGAGGCAGAGACACAGGGAAAGGGGCAGATCAAGGGGACTTCCTAGGGACAGCTTCCAGATGCAGCCAGCACCCTCCATGCAGAGCCCTGCCCTGTCCCTGCTCAGCCCCAAACTCTGGCCCTCCGTGGACTGGCCTGGAGAGAAAGGGGAAGGAGTGACGTCCTCCCACCCAGCCCCACACGAGGCTTAGGAGGAACAGACGACTCACCAAAATGGAAATGATGCCCTTGAACTTCTCCTCTACCAGATCACAGATGATCTTGTTGTTGAAATACTGGACAGGCTCCCACTGAGGGGTACAGGGAAGGAGGGCATCATCATGGGGTCCTGGTGCCTCCCCCGGGGACTGACACCTGGGCTTCCTATGACACCTGCAGGCCCGCGCTTACCGCGATGCCCTCGGCCTCGTACTCCTCCTGCTCTGACTTGAGGGTGAGTTCGATGAACAGCTGCTGCAGCTTCTCGTTGCAGTAGTTGATGCAGAACTGCTCGAAGCTGTGAGGAAAGCAGGAGAGACCACAGGAGCTCAAGGTGGCCACAGGGCCGGGCTAAGGGGAGGATGGGCCAGGCCCTGAGCAGCTATGGGAGAAACACTCATCAGGACCCAGGATGGTTGGGAAATCACTGACAGGAATGAGAGGCGGGGGACAGAGGGGAAGGACCGGGACAGAGGGACGAGAGGAGAGACAGGCAGGAGGAAGAGGGCACTGACCTGTTGTGCTGAAACACTTCGAAGCCATAAATGTCCAGGAGCCCAAGGACCGTGGTGCTCCGCCAGCTGGGGCTCTGGGCATCCTAGGGTCATTCAACCAAGAGCATGGGTCCCCACTCCTGCCAGCCCCCAGTGCCCAGGCCCAGGCCTCCCTGGACTGCCTTCCCTGCTCCCTTGGGAGCAGCCAGGACCACGCCCTCACCTTGGAGGCTAATGACCTGTTGATCTTCCCGACTAGCCAGGTAAAGGTTCGACTATACACGGCCTTGGCAAGCGCGTCTCGAGCATACGCAGCCTGCTCCAGGTTCAGCGGGCTCAGGAGCTGCAGGTGTGGCGTGAGACCGGGAGATGAGTGCTGAAGACCCCTCTCCACCCACTCCCCTCTGGGTTCAGGTCCAACACCAGGAAACTGTCTACTCGCCCTCCTGCTGGGGGAGCATGTGGGGGCGGGCACAGGAGAGGACACAGTGACCCCACCAGAGGGAAGGAGGTATACGGACAAGAGGCCCCATTCCTAGAGGTCGGAGTCTTGGCTCTAGCCTGACTCCCTCACCCTCTTCCTGTGTGACCTTGGCCCGCTCCTGTGCCTCTCTGAGCCAGCTGCCTTATGTCCTTCCAGCATTGCTGAGAGGACCAGCTAGCGGACCAGGGGAAGGGGCAACAATGGGTGGGGGCTACCTTATACCTGCATCCCTCACCCCATCTCCTGAGGCAAAGGCTTGGCCTCACCTCTTCTCCCTTGGCGATGATCTTCCTGTGGGTCAGGGCTTCCCGAAATGTTGAGCCGTCCACACCAAGAAGCTGTCAAGGGGGCGGGGGGCATGGTGAGGGTGCCCTTCCCCTCACCCAGCTGTTCTGCCCTTGCCCTCTGCTCACCCCGCTTACCCTAGTGAGATACTTGAACTGATTCTCACTGGTGACCTGGGCGTTGCTCTCCTCATCGGCAGCAAAGTGGAGGTTGCCCAGATGCAGGACACTGGCCACGATGCTCAGCAGGTCCTGGGGGACAGGCAGGGGCAGAGGGGAGTCACAGGAGGGGCTGAGAGTTCCATGAGGGCAACCAGGGGTGGTTGGATGGAGCAGGGACTGGGAGGTGACGTGTTTGAGAGGAGAAGGGGGATCTAAGTAGATACGGGCAGTAAAAGTGGGTTGAGATTTTCGGGGTGTGACAGGAGGAAAGAGGGTCCCCAGCAGAGGCCTCACCTCCACTTCATCCTCAGTGAAGTTGATGACCGTGAGAGCCTTCCTGACGACCTTCCAGTCGTTCTTGTCGTTGATGGAGGAGACTTTGGCACACTGGCCCTGGGGGAGGGGCAAAGCTGGGTTATCAGCCGTGGCGCCCTGGCACTGTGCTGCTCCCCGGGTGGCACCTGCCCTGCCCACCAGCTGCTCACCTTCACCAGGTACAGGTAGCTCTGGGGGTTGCGCTCCAAGCCCAGCCTGCGCAGTGTCTCCTCTTCGCCCCCCTCCAGCAGCTGATAGAAAATGTGGAAGTTCCTCTCCCCGTGATTCTGGTGGACCACGCGGGACTTCTCCAGGAGGTAACTGAGAATGTGGCCGCCCACAGGGGCACCCTGCGGGCAGGACAGACATGGGGACTACTCAGGGGGATGGGAAGTGGGGCCCACCTTCCCTTCTCTCCCCCGCCGTCTTGGGTTCTAATTCCAGTTCTGCCCCTAAGTGCCTGGGCTCCGGCAAGTCACCCGCTGCCTCAGCTTCTTCATCTAAGAAACGAGGACACTCAACCCCATCTATCTGTCAGCTCCATTCGGACGGACGGACAACAGGCATCTCAAACTCAACAGCCCTGAACTGAACTCCTTCTCTCCCGCTCCTCAGGCTAGCTCCCCCGACTGTCTCCCATCTTGGTCAATGGTTACTTCACCCTTCTAGGTGCTCAGGCTAAGGAGTCTGCAGGCCTCCTCTCATCCCATCAGCCCATCAATCCTGCTGCCTTAACCTTCAAAACCCCAGAGTCCAACCGCTGCTCCCCACCTCCACTGCCCCTGAGCTGGTTCCAGCCACAGTCACCTGTCATCTAGATTATTCTATCAGCTTCCTGACTGGTTTCCCTGCTTGGCCTGCTTCTCTGACCATCTAGTCTCAACAAAGCAGCCAGAACAATCTTTTTAAGAGGAAAGTCAGATCCCGACACACTTCTGTTCCAAATCTCCTGATGGCCCCCTTCCTCTTGGAGTTCAAAACATAATTAAAGAGCAACTGCCCCACCCCTGACCTTGTTTTATTCTTTGCCATGGGACTTGTCACCTACATTACATTTTCCTGCTTACTGTCTGTCTCCCCTAAAGGCAGGATTTTTGTCTGTTCTGTTTCAATGCTGCAGTTCCAACATCTGGAACAGTGCCTGGCACACAGCAGGAGCTCAGTAAATATTTACTGGCGCCAACTGAATGGGAAACCCACCCCCCTGCCCCGGCACACACAGGTACCTTGAAATCAAACTGCACGTCCATGTACTTCCCAAACCTGCTGGAGTTATCGTTCCGGAGGGTCTTGGCATTTCCGAAGGCCTAGGAGCAGATGGGGGTATGAGGGATGCCGGCCTTCTCTCCCTGCCTGTCCCTCCTCTCAGATGCTGCCGGACCCTCACCTCCAGCACAGGGTTGCTCTGTAGCAGCCGGTCACGCACAGCACCACCCCGCTCAGGGGCTGGGCAGGTCTCAGCATAGAACTGCAGCAGCCGCTTGGTGGCCTCGGTCTTGCCGGCCCCGCTCTCCCCAGAGATCATCACTGCCTGGTCCCGGCGCTCCGTGCGCAGTGCCCGGTACACAGTGTCGGCCACCGCGAACCTGGGGCAGAGGCGGGTCAGGAGCTCAGGGGGTAGGAGTTCGAGCAGCTGCAGCTGGTGGGAGTCCAGCAGGTGGGGCTGGGGAGGGCACTCCCACATCTGCCTGGCGTTCTCTTGTGGGTGGGAGCTGCATTTACCTTTGAGGATGGGGATTGGGGAACCTTCAAGGGGGTGGGTGGAGGGAGATTCTTCACAGCTGTGGAGGGGGTCACTTTCCATTTTAGTATATGTGCTGCCGAAGCGAGCACTGGAGGGGGTCACTTCCAGAGGGAAGATGGAGAAGATCACTCATGAGTGTTACCGGTCATTCAGGTAGAGGTTGGGGTCCCTCATAGGTAGGGCTGGAGGCCCCCAGAGGTCACTAAGGTTGGGGGCCATGCCAGGTACAGTTGGGCAAATAAGTCATGAGTGAGAATGAGTTGGGTGGGGGCCGGGGAGGTCCCGACCAGACGGAGCTGATTCATCTCAGGTGGGGATGGAGTCGGTCCAGGGTGAGGAACTGTGGGATCCCTCACAGATGTGAACAGTGCTTCATCCAAAGTGGGGAGTCTGGGGTCATGTTAGAGTGAGGGCCGGGTGGGGTCATCTCAGATGGGGATGGGGGTGTCACTCACAGGTGGGGTGGCACCTCGTAGAAGCTGACGCCACGGTAACGCTCCATGTGCTGACGGGTGTAGATCTGGAGGTCCCGGTAGGGGTTGACAGAGACCAGGACCGGGCCAATGTAGGTCTGGGGGTTGGAGGAGGAGGGTCAGAATTCTCTCCCAGAGGCGCCTGGTGCCTCTTTCCCCCACAGTCCTGCCTCTGAACCCCCCAGCAGCCCCACTGTCTTCCCACTCGGGCCTCACGTAAATGAGGTTCTCCCGGAACCGTCGCCGCAGGTTCTCGATGAAGGCGGCCTCACTGGTGAAGTTCTCCAGCAGCACGAAGTCCTGCACCCCCACCCGGTCACGGGCGGTCAGGGCGCTCTCCATGGTCACCCGCACCCCGTCGCTGCCCAGGGCCTGTTGGGAATGAGTCGCGGGAAAGGGTCAGGGCCAGCGGGGTAAGATAAGGCCACTTCCCCCCCCCACCACAGCCTGTGGGATCGACAGGACAGCAGGGCAGGTGAACACGGGAGGCCTGGACACAGGACACAGGAGCAGGATGACGCTGTGTACACTGGGCCTGGGTGTACACAGGGAACATGGAGGACAGGAGGCCACCCAGAACAGAGACCTCGTGGGTGCATGGGCCTGGACACACACCCTGGAGCACAGAGGACAGAGGAGCAAGGCCACCGAATCCCGAGTGCGGGAGGTGCTAGTTTTGTGTAGAGAAAGGGGGGGTCATGAAGGAACTCCTGGAATCACAGAAAAAAAGCTCTGTTGACCTTGGACCAATCCCCTCCCCTCTTAGGGTTCTTCCGCCTCCAGGAGGAGTTGGATTAGACCAGGTGACTTAGGTCTCCGCTCTGAGCCACAGGTGACAGGTGTTGTTGGAGGACAAATGGCTCCGAGCGCGCCCTTCTGGCAGGGTAGGGGCGCCTCTCCCCCCACCCCACCCCCGCCAGACTCTCCAGGGGAGAGTGTCAGGGACTGAGCAGGAGACCACCCCAGGCCCCACAGGAGAGGGACCGCCCAGGGGACCTCCTGTCCAGCGGGACTCAGCACTCACCCCATGAGGGGGCCGCCCTCCCATCGCTGGGCCACACCCTCTCCATCAGCTGCCAGGCTCCCCGGGCACCCTCCTCCCCCGGGAGCCCGAGGCCTCAGGGGGTGGGGGTTTCACCGCGGAAAGCCCAGCTGCCGCCTCCCCCCCCCCACACACTCTTTGAAAAGGGTCTGGGGCTCCAGGAAACGGACGCCGAGTGTCAGGGCCCGAGACGAGCAGGGCGGCAGTGGAAGCGGTGGGTTTCGATCCCGAGGGGCAGCAGGTCTCCTCCAACCAGACCCCCCAGGCTCTCGCCAGGGCCCCTCTGGGTCTGAGCA